TCAACAATCAATATTATTACTATTATGCATAGTTACTGCACGTTTCCACCCCTTTGAAAGGCACCTCACTATCGCGTTCCTAGTCGCCCTACGCCTGGGCAGAAGGTCGCCATTTTGAGAGTTCTCTTAACCACTTCTAATCTGTCGTACAATTTTTCGAATGTGCTCAACTTCCTTTATGAGCGCATGGCACCAACTCTCTTAAATTAGTGACGAAGTGTAGCTGAACGCTCCCTTTTTTTAGAAAACGGGTTTCAAACATCCTGTACTTCAAAAGAAAATCTATGCTTATCAAAAATTTACTCAAGAAGGTACATTTTATCCACTGGATCGTGATGGAGTAAATAGGAGAGACAAAGTGCTACACTTTCCCTGGTCTACAAGCTTTTGATATTCCATTAGGTGATTTGGTGCGTTGCAAAAAAAAGTCGCACATTTTTCAGTGAATGAAAATTCCCCGCTATCGTAGCAACGCATACAGATTGTCCAAAGGGAATTCCAAACATAGAAAAAAATCAAAATTCGGTCCTCTTTCCTTGCTTCTTGTGTCAACTCTGATCGTTTCCATCCTGCTCTAAATGGTAAGATTAGAGTTGACTCAAGAAACCCTTAGCACGATGAAAACCGTCCTAAATGGAAAAGTGAGCAAATAATCGCAATAAGCAGTAGGTGAATTCGCGCTCTGAGATATCGTAATTCAAAAAGCCCAGTCCTGCACTAATGATGGAAAATTTTAGTTATCGCTCTAACTACCTCTTACTCAATCAACGTCAGGACCGATTATGCAATAGAATAGATCGTGACCATTATGCCTCAATTTTTGTCTATCGCATGCAATCGATTGTTACGAAAAAGTTCAACTCCCAAGCTTAAAAAAAAGCATTGTGTGTCACTCAGTCATATTGTTTCGTACTGTATACCCAATGTTAACTCCTGCAATGTTGACAATAAACAAAATGACCATCATCATATTTTCAAACACTATTATATTGTGAGAAGAGCGGATGATAGCTATCCCAAAAATAAGCAAACAGCTGCTGATCCAAGCACCGCAGCCGAAACATTTGCACATTAACAAGCTTGAGTAAAAAATGTTCCGAAATCTCATTATTACTGCTTATGGTTGCTTATTCGTACTACGATCACTTAAAACAAGCTTTTCACAGCTATTCTATTCGAATGTATATTGAGTAAGCTCCAACACTGAGTTCGAATAGTTGCTAATAATAAAATCATAATCACGGTGAGATATTGTTGAGAAATACAATATAAACATCGACTTGAACGCTAAGAAAAAATTCTGGAAGACAACCCATTGTCCGCAACTCTTTATTGTTTGAAGTCTTCTCTTTAAAGTTAATCGAATTCAGCACTCGTGTATTGATTAGAACTAAAAGGTATAGTAAACCGATTCTCGACAAAAAATCCATTAGCAATAAATTCCACCGATAGTTATTTTATGAGAAACAAAGGGAATAACAAGAGAGCGTAGATCACAGTTAGTTATGAATATCTACAGATATCACATTTCTCAACAAACACCAATTTAGTTTTCATAGCATATATTTGCACCATTGACCGGTGACTATAGCCCTTAAGTTACAATGACAAATCAGAAGACTTTATAATGTATGAAAAAATAGGAATTTCAAAGATATAAGCAATATTCTCACGTGTAATGATGCTCAACACGTAGCAAAAACCAGCAGAAGGAAATTTACAGGCGAAGGGGTAAATGGAATGAAATACAGTCAAAGGCAGCATACTCAAGTTCCAACCTCTAGATTAAGATTCCTTGAGGATGCCTTACAAACTAAGGTGGATACTTCTTTTACAGTACTTTCTAAGGATACCAAGAAATCTCTGTACGCTTGAAATCGCTGTGGGGATCTTTTGTGTAATGCGCGCCACCTTTGAAAATCGATGAAAATGAAGAGTGAATTGTTACGAAAACTGCACAACATATGTACAACTAATTCTCAACCATAGAAACTGATATCCAAGTTAAATCCTGAATAAAGGGACTACTCACATAACAACCATAGCTTTCAGGAAGGATGCGCACTGAACTTTGTTGAATCGCAAATTTCATCACTACTTCGTACAGTTGGAGAGGCGTAAGATACATCTATTTGTACAGAAATTGTTATAAACAATAAATGGTATTTTGAAAAAAAGCAATGAATCAATTGGCAGTTTCACCAAGATTGAGATATTCGCATATATGCGCTGGCAACTTGTCTTGGCTAGCGGACAATTGGTGGAAAATGGCTTCAGCGGCTGTCATTACATCATCGAGAACAAGATGCATTGATAGGTCATTGACATGCTGAAAATGAATATTTTGGAGAGTAAGCCAACAGCACAAAACTGCTTTCCACCTTTAAAATTTCCGTAAGGCCAAACTTGTTATCGATTATAGTGTTCATTTGTGCGTCAAGTATAGCGACGCACACCAAAAGCAGAAAATTTGGGCATGGCTGACCTGTCCATAGCACCTGAATTTTTTGAATTGTACTGAAAGTAGTTCAACAGATAACACACGAGGGGAGAAGAAGATAAAGTAAAGAAAAATAAAACTTAGCCCAACCTCCCACAGCTTGCACGTATCGGCAAATGAAAGCTCACGTTTGAACCACACAAGGACCCATCGGAAACAGAAATACATATCGTCAGATTGGTGACTTTCTAAAACGCTGAGAATTTGCAACGGCTGTTATATAATGTGAGGCTAAAAGCATTGCAATAAAAATTTTTTTTCAAAGCAAAAATTAAGGGAAAAAACCCTTTTTTCTCTGTATATCGAAAGCTGACGATTGAATTAGAATTTAAGGAACACGGTTGAAAGTAGAGGATAACATACCTAAGTAATTTGCTAACTGTGGGTTCACTATCATCACCAAATCCCGCAGTTGATACATCTGGAGCTTAATGGCAGCTTGATCTTTCTCGAAATTTCGTTGCTGTAAACATTATGCGATAGTGAAATGAAAAACTTACTGCATGGAAGTCAAAAAAGAATCGCATGCATATCTGTGCATTAACTTACAATTTTCTTCATCAGTTCAACAAAGCACCAGAATGCATCTACTTCATTTCCCATAACATAGACGAGAGGCGACGCAAAGTCGCTCATTCCTTGCACATAACCTATAACGGATGAGTAACAACGTTTAATTCTACAATTTTCTGCCTCCATTAAATTTTTCAAAATTCAAAGGCAGCAACTCTACCTACCAAGATCGAAATTATACATCACATAGGTCATGAGTATATTTTGCAACATTGTGAGATTCGGATTTGCGTCACCGCTGAAGAACTCCATCGAGCGATCAGTGCGAGCAACGTCTTTCTCTGTAAGTGATATTTTTTTGGAAAGATCAGCTTTTGCATGAGTGAAAACAAAGACAGCTCAAACTTCGTTTCAAAACTCTGAAATAAGACGTCAGTCAGCTTATCAAGCTGAACATTGTATAAGCTTTGAGCTAACTGATGACACTCACCTACAAGGCCTTTTCGCTTGCTATAGCTGAAAAACCGCGACTCCTGATCCTCGGTTATGGATAGCCACTGAGCTTTCAGTCTTTCATACTCTTTCGCAAGCTTTGCTCGCTTCTTAAGAAGAAAAAAAGTTGAGAATAATTTCAAAAATAATGGGAATGGGAGGGTAATGGTTACCCAAAATAGCACAATATATGCATAACTGTTTCTCCACCAAAGAATGATATACTAATAATTATTATTCATGCGTCAAAAGGTTTCTTTCAAAAGGGACATTTTCAAAAAAGAAAAACATGACTTGGAATAGGATGCATGAAAATTTCCACCAACCTTTTCAAACTGTGCATTAGTTTCACCCCATGCTCTGTATTCAAGGAGATATTTCCAAGCTTCCTTTCGCAATTCTGGTTGCAAACCTAGAGGTCAGATAAAGAAAGTGAGCGGTTGCAATACGGAAATAAGAACTCTTGTTGAAACTATCAATATAAAAGTCCTTTAAAAAGAATCAAGG